CGAATGTTGGCCAGTTTCTCAAGAACCAGTCGAAATACGTACATTGTATGGCCACCTTAACAATGAACTTGACCAACCTGAACAATGACCTTCTCCTCTTTACATATAGTCAAGTGCATTGGAAACCCTAACAATTAACTTTTCTTCTTTGCTCCTTAGAAGATCTCTGGGAATTTTAAAAAGTACCCCGGCAGTTGGGCTACCCCCGCAGTGCAAGGGTTAAGTGCTCCTTTTGTCTCGGGGGCATAAATAAGGCAGATATATCAGGAAGCCAAGCGGTGGCTCATGACCCGTTGCCTGGTTTTCTGATTGCCTGGGAAGCTGGTGTTCTATCGAAAGAACACCGGCTCCACTTTCCTAGGCTGTCTGGCTTTCTGACCAATCAGGAAGCCAGGCAGTGGATCATGAGGTGCCGTCCGGCTACCTAATTGGTCAGGAAGCCAGGCTGCCTAGCAACAAGTGAAGCTGGCTTTTTAGCCAATCAGGAAGCCGGGGAGCACGTCATGACTCGCCTCCCGGCTTCCTGATTGGCTAGGAAGCCGGCTTAACTTGTTGCTAGGCAGCCTGGCTCCCTGACCAATCAGGGAGGCGGGTCATGAGGTGCCGCCTGGCTTTCTGATTGAAGCCAAGCTGCCTAGCAACAAGTGAAGCCGGCTTATTAGCCAATCAAAGCCAGGCAGCACTTCATGACACGCCTCCCGGTTTCCTGATTGGAAAGGAAGCCGGTTCCATGCACCCTCGGCACCGCCGGTCAGAGAGAGATCTCTCTCTCACCGTAAGTTCCGGTAACGTAGCATTTGAGTACTCGCCCAAATACTCGGCAACGGTACCGATGCTATTATCGGTATTGGTGCAATCCTAATTGAAACCCGCTACTTTTTTGTGTTGAGCCGATATAGATCAGCAGAAGGTATATATGCTCTCCTGAAAGTGGGCCTCTAGCTAAATAACACCTGGCCCTCTTGCTCACTCTGCTTCCCCCATACTTTCAGCGAGCAGTCCATACTGTCTGCCGGTACAGATGTAGTATCCGTATCCCGTTCTGGTCCATAGCTCAGTCCTGCACAATAGCTTTTGAATTTTGTTTGCAAGTTGCGAGCTCTCATTGGGATGAGTGAGAAGCTCTTCTGACCTCGCTGACCAATGAATGCTCGCATTTTGCAAGCGAAATTCAAAATCCATAGAACGGCGCTGCGATGCGGATCAGAACGGGGTACAGATAGTTTCGAAACGGTCGCGAACCGAATCAAAACTGGGATCAGACCGCGATCTCGACTAGCGGAAGCCACAACCATGTGTCAGAGCAGGGAAGATGGCTGCGGTTGTGCTCGCCACCCGATAAGGAGTTCGCGAAAGGAAGCAACGTTTTGCTGAACTTCCTGTTCGCAAACAGAAGCGTTCGTGAACCGAGGTACCTCTGTAGTTTACAAAAAATGGGTTCTTCTACATTGGAAACCAGTTGAATTTTGTTTTAGGCGTGTCGAGTTTCTGGCTGCTGGGAAAGGACCAGCCTTGACGCATTTTGCGCCCCCCGACTCCTATGACCGGTCTATCTTACTGTAACGCACACGGTAGTAGGTGAATAGATTCACCACCTGCCTATATGCGCTCTCACCAGCCTCCATTTTTCGTCTCTTTCCCGCCATGTTTATCATCTCTTCGGCTTTTTTTTTTTCTCTCTTTCATAACGGCGCAGGGAGTTGCTCCTGTCTTATTAACTTGCAGCCCGCATACTTCTCATCTTTTGTTCTTTGTTAAATGTGAGCTGGCATCTGTTAGGCTGCGTTAGCATTCAGTCTCGGGGAATTCAGCGCTTTCTATATTCGGCTCTGCTAAGCCGGTGCCCTGTTTGCTCGAATCAATTGGGGCTGCTATTTTTAGCAACAAAGGGGAATTGAAATAGCAATTTTCTTTCTATGTAATGGATCCCCAAGAGGAATACTGATGTAAGTTTTCTGTCATCCCTCTTATGCACGCCCCCCCACTTTCTCCTTCCCAAAAGAACTGATAGGAGAGGCATCTGTCACGAGTCTGCAGCAGTATTAATCTTTAATCAATCGAGTGTTAAAAAAGACAGGGCAGCTAAAAATAACCCCCCTTTTTGCTCGCAGTGTTTTTCTGGTCTATTTTTGATGTTTGATTTAGATAAGGTTGATTGGGTAGCTGCTAAAAATAACTGTTCCCTGAAAGTTGAGGACAAAGAGTGGAGGATATTTTTAACCCGCGTTGCTTCTCCAGACGGCGAGTGATCTTCTAGAAGGTGGTCTCGCCTTTCGGAGTCTTGCTGAACGTGTAAAAATACATTTTTTATTTTATTTTTAATGGTTCTAACCGAGCTTAGGAAACTGTTTACCGAGAACGGAGATTATACGCCGCGCTGGTATGGGGACATGTTGTTGTGTTTACACTAGGTCTGTACGGAGGTCATTAATAAGGCAATGTCGTCAAATCTTCAATGATATGTCTTATTTCATGAAAAAAAAAAATGTTCGTCTGGAGAGGAATGACGTCATGTAGTAACAATGGCTCGCCAACCAGCGGACTGCAGTCAGATCAGTGAAGGGCACATTATGGTTTGGATTGGTTGACATTCAGAGCAGCATTTCTCTACCTTTTTCTTAAGTCATGGCACCCTTCAAAAGTGTGCAAAATCTAGGATTTTAAGGGGGGGCACACAAAAGCACAAAAAGTGGGGTTCCCCCCTTCACATCAGAGGCCTCCCCTTCACATTAGGACCCCCTCCCCTTCACATCAAAGCACCCACTTTTAAATCAGAATTCCCCTTTACAAATCAGAGCCCCCCCCTTCATATTGGGAGCCCCCCATTTACGTTAGAAGCCCCTCACTTCACATCAGATCTCTCCCTTCATATTGGGAGCCCCCCTTTTACATTAGGAGCCCTTCCTTTCACATCAGAGCCCCCCCCCTTCATATTGGGAGCCTCCCTTTTAGATAAGGAGCCCCTCCTTTCACATCAGAGCTCCCCCTTCATATTGGGAGCCCCCTTTTCACATTGGTGCTCCCCCTTCATATTGGGAGCCCTCCTTTTACATTAGGAGCCCCTCCTTTCTCATCAGAGCTCCCCCTTCATATTGGGAGCCCCCCTTTTACATTAGGAGCCCCTCCTTTCACATCAGAGCTCCCCTTTCATATTGGGAGGCCTTTACCAGGAGCCCGCCTTCATATTAGGAGCCCCTCCTTTCACATCCGAGTCCTCCCTCTCACACTAGGAGCCCCCTTCACATCAGAGTCCTACCATCACGTCATGAGCCGAAGCATGGCAGGCAGGCAGAGCAGTCCTCGATGGAGGTGAACTTCCATAGTTCTCTGAATGGATCCCACTCTCCTTGGTTTAGCGTCATCTGTTTCCATGGTGTTGGGCTGCCTGATGCAACATCCAAATGTAAACGGAATGAAGTTAAAAATGTCTTTTGTATTCTACTTTTTGTTTAGCCCTGATGAAGTGGGTACTTTAAAGCCTTGGTTCTCAACTGGTGGGTCGTGACCCAAAAGTGGGTTGCGACCTGGTGTTCAGTGGGTCCCCGTGTGCCTTCCACTTTCTAGGTGAGAGGCTCCTCAGCCTTCCCCTAGCGCATAACTGTAAGTTCTTGCGCCAAGCAGCCATTCAAAATATGCTGCCCGGTGCTGAGTGTCAGCTCAAGGTAGGGTGGGCTCCATCCATAAGTGCATTGCTTACAACTCCCTCACATGTCCTATAGAGTGCCTGGACCGAAGTGATGTCACATACTGGCTCTCGGCACCTTTGCAGGGTGTGCAAGGGAGGTGTACAAGCACTGCACATATGGATGGAGCTCCATCACAGTATAGCAGGCCACACCAGACCCCAGGCTGAGGATCCCCTCCAGTTCTCATAAGGTAGGGAGACTGGGTGGATCTTAAAAAAAGAACAGAATTTGTATTTTTTTGTAGTGTGTCTGTGGTTGTATGCTTTTGAGGGCCCATTAACACTAGTACAGTGCGTTAATGGCACAGTCCCGTGCGATTAACGCACTGTACTTCACAAACCCACCTACCAGGCGTTTTGGTGTGAGAAGTGCATTGCATTGCCATTCATTTAAATGGCACCCCAAATGCAACTCCCACCCACAGTTCTATTGCCCGCATCGGAACGTGCAATACTGCAATGCCGTGCGTTCCATGGCTGGGTCGCGACTTAATGACCAAGGACAAATATGGGTCCTGAGGTTACATAGGTTGAGAACCACTGCTTTAAAGCCTCCAAAATAAGTGGGCTGGTATAACCTGGATTTTATTTAGAATTGTTTTACAAGAGTACTAAAGCCAAACTTTTTTTTTTTTTTTAGCTTTAGTTGTCTTCTGGGTCACAGGAGGACATTTACCACCTAGCGAGCTACTGCTGTATGCTGACAATGCAGAGCTATGCTGCAGCCGGGAAGGATCCTGACACTATTGTCTGGATCCAAACCGCTGCTTGATTGACAGCTCTCTAGAGCCAGAGCCAGCTGACGAGGGAGCATGGAGCCAGTTTCCCGGCGATTCAGGAAGCCGGGCAGCATGTAATGACTCGCTGCCCGGCTTCCTGATACCAGAAGCTCAGGTATCGGGCTAGGCATCGGAGCATTTGGGCGAGTACAAGTAATTGCCCAAATACTCTGCATCGGCACCGATACTAGTATCGCTATCGGTGCATCCCTAGTAGTAGTCATAATCTACTGTTGTGGCCATCAGGAAATGCCATGAAGTCATTGCTGCAGTGTATGTAGACCGGAAGATGCTGGAAGGAGGCTGAAGGAGATCAGCAGAGCAGAGATACAGAAAAGGATCTCTGTTTTTGTATTTACACAGAAATTACAACGGTTTATGATGCACAGCGCTTTAGCAAACCAATGTCATTCAGTTAGGGTTTACATGTACTTTAGATGACCTCCTCGATGTCTCTAAATGTCTGTTAATAAATGCTGTATATTGATCTTAATGAGACTCGTCATCTCACCCCAGCTGTTTTCTTGTCTCTGCAGTTGTAACTGGAGCCACTGATGGGATTGGAAAGGCATACGCAGAGGAGGTGAGAAATGTGTTTTGCTATGACCCCTGAAAGTCTATTTTCACCTTTGCATTCAAGTTGGAGAATTCCTCCGACCTATGTTATGGGTTCCCATCCACACAGCACACCAAAATACATTTTTTCAATATTTCTTTTTAGTTGGTTTGTTTGGACTCTCATGTTTAGTTTTCTAATTTGTATGGAGATTGTAGTCTATCCCGGGGGCGAGCTTGGAGCGGTGACTACTTTGCAGCACACAGAGGGACCATGGGGAACAAAAGTAGCCCCCCTCCAGAAGGAAGGACAGTGTCCGCACCAATTCAGAGATGATTGGAGGCTCTACAGCCGAGTGATACACAAATAAGATACATTTTTGTTTATAGTTAATGTTCTTGAATGTATTTTTAATGCCTCATTCACACTGGAATCGGCCAGCATGTACAGCTCCGTGCTACGTGCATGGCCATATCGAGCAGCTCCCGGGAAGGACAGGGGCTGCGTGTTAGTACGCAGCGTTCCGCCACTGGAGATAGTCCTTTTTGTACTTTGAGGTGTGATTCCCTATGCTTTTTATAATTTATGACCGATCTTCTCACCCACAGGCAGAACTTGTGGCTTTATGACAGCCTAAGTTCTTCTTTTGCCCAGGAGTGCACTGCGCAGGCACAGCCCCGTTGTTGAAACGCAAGCCGGAAGCTTTTTGCGTTCCATCCCTGGCAGATTGGGCGGTGTCGTTAGCCTACACCGCGTCCAGATACCCACATTAGCCCAACCCCTTTTTGGCCTTTGTGCGTGGTACGCATGCACAGGCCGTTTCGTGGCTGCGGTGGAACACAAGCCGGAAGCCGTTCTGCGCTCCTCACAATAGACATGTGCGCTGGCAGCCGAGATAGCGTCTAATCGCCTTGGCAACTACCCGCTCCGGCTGAGTAACGATCCGGTTTCTCCTCGCGCCTCGGTGCACCTGCGATACTCAAGGTCAGTTTAGGATTTGAATCTATTGTGGCGGGAATGGATCCAGTGATGGCATTGTTTTCATGGGAGTGGCTTATTTTTATTCTCACTGTGTGATGTCTATATAAAGTTGATGAATCTTTTAGTGATGTGTCATTCTGAGCCTGATGAAGGGGACCCCTTGTGGCCCCGAAAGCGCTTGTATTGGATGGCAATGTGCCATTAAAATGGATCATTGATTTACTATTGCGGTGTGCTGGTGACATTATTCTTTTCTTCTGTGATTAGTACGCAGACCCGGTCCTTCTCTATGGGACTATGCGGCCGTACGCCCCTCTACGCTCATCTCAAGTGCAGGTCCGTAGGGGTGCGTGTTTCCTGGCTCGGACGCAGACAGGATCCATCCTGTCCTTGTAAGAGTGCGCTCACCCGCAGCACAGAGCTGTACGTGCCGGCGGATTCCAGTGTGAATGAGCCCTTGGGTTTAACTCCGGAGTTTAGAGTCACTTTCAACCCTTTGCTAGGACAGACAGTGCTCACATTGCACAGTTTGTACATGCTTATAGAGAGAGGTCGGTGCGCTTGGGCAGGATGGTGGCCAAGTTACATTTCTTCACGGTAGTAAAGTGAGGTCCCTTTTAGCTTCCTGGAGTTCCACAAACATGACCCGAACTCTGGAAACTGTGCTCAAAAAGAAAAGAAAGCAGAGGACAAAATCATCAGTATTTATACCTTTTCTCCCCCCATTACTAACTTACTGTGCCTTGTTCTGCCCTGTGTCTGTGTGTGGAGGCAGCCAGCTTGGAAGCAGCGGGGCTTTGCTTCCTCATGTCAGACCTGCTCTCCAATGACTGGATTTGATGATTAGTTGAGTAATATTTAGGAAGAAGCAGGAGAGGTGAGTGAAGCAAAGATCCACAGAATGAATGATGCAGAAGCAGGGGGATATTTGCACTGTACGACCTCAGGTACAGCTTCCTCTCCAGCAAGGAAAACAATGAGCAGCACAGTAGTGACTACTTAGGTTCTGCTAATATTTGACCTCTGCCCTGGATTGGAAGGCCCTTATTGCACCAGAATATAAATCGACTCTGATGATTATTGTATGTGAGTGGGTTGCTATATTCTCCCCAATAATTGCATCATGGAGGCTGCCTGAAGAGCTAATATAATACTTTATGCAATGTTCCTTTCATATTATATTGGGGTTTCATACTTGCTTCCATTATTACTTTGGTTGTAAACATTTTTATTCATATAAAAAACTAAAATCTTGTTTTTATGTATTTTTCTGCAGCTGGCCAGGCGTGGAATGTCCATCGTCCTTATCAGTAGATCACTGGAGAAACTCGATGAGGTGGCCAAAAACATCCGTGAGTCTGATTCCCACTTTATTTTGTCTCGGCTCTTATTTCCAGCGCTGTTTTGAAAATGGAAAATAGAATTTTGTTGCTAGTGGCAACACGATAGTTTTTCCAACCTGTTTTTCTGGACGGGCGACCATTGGGGTGTAATATGTGACATAAGCAAAATGATACATGGACCTGGTGCAATAACTTTATTAAAGCTTTAAAGCTGAATCCCAAATTTCCATTGTGTCTTGCACAGTTGTAGAGGCTCCTCCTGTTTAAATGGCTTTCTCTGATCTCACTGCACACTGGGAGCTTCTCACAATGTGCATTAGAAGCTGCAGTAAGTCAGTTAGAGCCCGCCTCATTTCCTGGCTGGATAACATCAAGCATCATCTAGCACTTGTTTTCCCAGCCTTACTGTCCCTGGCCCATCACTTACATTTATTGGATTTCAGTCATGGAGGCTCAGTGTCATAAGCGAATGCAAATTCAGATGCAGCTTGCTTAGAAACACCCACTCCACCTGATGCCCACCCATCAGTAGCTTTAGCCCTCATTCACACTGTTAAGAGCCGACCCGTACAGATCCGTGCTGTGTGCACGGCCATATCGAGCCGCTCCCGGGAAGGACAGGTGCTGCGTGTGATTGCATGCAGCAGCCTGTTCTTCTCTATTTAAGTATGCACACCTGTGTGGGTGTCCGTACACGGACAGGATGGATCCTGTGTGTGTCCGAGCACAGGCACCCGCACGGATGTGCAGTTCAGATGAGCGTACAGTGGCGTACTCCCATAGAGAAGAACAGGCTGCTGTGTACAATCACACGCAGCACCTGTCCTTGCCGGGAACGGCCCGATACGGCTGTGCAGGCAGCACGGATCTGTACAGGCCGCCTCTTAACAGTGTGAATGAGGCCTTAAAGCTAAACTCCAGAAGTAAAAGTTACCTGTGGCACTGCAATGGTTAAATGCTTGCTATGCCTAGGGGATGATTTAAAGGGGAATTGTTGACCTTGTTCTTTGGCAGCAGCCAGCGCTCTCCCGCACACTTTGACACTCCTGGGATGTAGGCATGCCCTCTTCTTTCCTCAAGTACAATGCAGGACTGCTGGTCCTGCACTGTACCTGATGAAGCTGGAGAGCTGTTACCCTTTTGGGTAGGGAAGGGTAAGGTGCTCCGATTTGGGGGGGTGCGGTCTAAAGCTGCCCATACACCTTGCAACCATTGCACGACTTTCGTTATGCGAATGGTTGTAAGGCGATTAAAATTTCCTACGACCTGCCCATCTTGGACAGGCAGATCGTGCTTGCGATCATCGCAAGCCCTCCCCGCTGAGGGGAGGGCTTACAGATGATTGCAATGGCGAGCAGGCAGTGTGCGCTTGCGCTCCTCATGCAGCTTTTCGTCTTTCAATTGCGCTACCAACGAAATTCGGCGGCTTTTCTAGCGTGCTCGGAAGATGAAAGCCGTGCGACCTTACATTAGAAGCGATCGCACGCTGCCCATACACCTGCCGATTATCGTACAATCGCGGGATCACCCGCGATTATCGTACGATAATCGTCAGGTGTATGGGCACCTTTATAGAGATGAGGAAGCCTGTGCGAATGAGTAAAAGGGTGAATATTCTACTTTATTCCTATCCCTCTGGATAGAATGAGCGGTGTGGAAGGGGCCCTAATGCAAAGGTAACGTTTTCATAGTTTAACTTATCAATTAACCCTTTCACTGCCAAGGACGTACGGCGTACGGAGCTACAAAAGTGCTTCCAGCTGGCCAGCTCAGTATGCCGTACGGACCTGGCATTTACAGCTCTACTATAAGCTGATGTTCGCTTTAGCGACCATCAGCTTATAGTAGAACTGTTCAGCAGACTGTCCCCTTTAAATTAATAGCTGTCATCAGCGGCTCACAAGCTTAGACCCCACCGGCGGGGGGGTCGGGGGTCCCGGGAACGAGCGGCGGCTGGCCGCAATTCAGGATGGCCGAGCGGAGGCCTACAAATTTAGTATCACCATCTTTTTATTCTACCGGGCCTGCGCTTTCAGAAAATATATGGTTTGGGGGGTCTTTTACAAACGCTAGCAACGCAGCAGTTGAAAATCAAATCAATAGGAAAAAATTGCAGAAAATTCAAAAATGGCTTGGCCAGCTGATTGGAAAAATGTTCCGGAGGGCTTGGCAGCGAAAGGGTTAAAGCTCAGGCAACAAAATACTGTCCAGCAATCAATCGATACAAAAATCTTTGCAGTCAATTGAACTGTTCAACAAAAATTACAATTACCACTTACCATTGCATAGCTTTGGAAATCCTAATTTATATATAAAGGCTGATTTTGTATTTGGGAGTTTTCCCGTCCGGTATAATCCTGATTGTAAGTCACATGAAAGTTACGGAGGGACGGGGTGAGGAAAGTCTCACGGTGAAATAAGCAGGGATGTCGGTTTTCCGGGGGCTCCCCTTTGTGTCTGTGGGTGGATGAGGAATGCCAGGGCTGCTTTTTTGGAACATCTTGCAGGATCTCCTCTCTGCGCTGGCTCAGTAAGTCTGCTGTAGCCGGCAGTGACCAATATCCTCTCAGCTAGCCTCTTCCAGGATCCCAGATGCTTCTCTGTGGTTGGCCCTGAGTCATATCAGGAGTAGATCTCGACACTCTCATGAACATAAAAGGCAAAGAAATACTATCATTTCCTCGCACTTCTCATTATTCTATGATCCGTAAGAGCCAGGCATGCATGTTTTTATAGCCATATGTATATGGAAACACAGGAAATATATTGTGCATAATGACGGCAGACTTTAAAGTGAAAGCATAGTGCATTTTCAGTACACACACGGAGGGGAATTTATCAAAACTAAAACAGACAAAATCTGGAGCAGCTATGCGTGGCAACCAATCAGCTTCTCTCTTTCATTGTCAAATCTTAACTGAAGAGAGAAGCTGATTGGTTGTCATGCACAGCTGCTTCAGATTTTGTCTGCTCCAGTTTTGATACATTCCCCACCATAGTTTTAAATTATTATTGCAGCATTTGCTGATGGATACAACCCTGTCTGGCTGAAGGAGAGGGGACCTCATTTTTCTCTGCTTCATTTAGGTGACTTCTACGAGTCTCCTCCCCTCCCTGAGGCTGTGATTGGTCAGTGAAAAAAAGAGAACCAGCAGATTGATAGGCTCACGCCTCTGTCACTCTGCTCTCTCCTCCTATCACCATCAGATCAGGGCTGATTGTGCTTCAGTGTTCATGACAACTATGTGGCCTCTAATGTGAGGACTTTGTACTGAAACCAAAAACAAAAATGTCATATATTGTAGCTTACCATTCATTCGATCCACCTAATGATCCTTCCAGTAACACACATTCTGTCTCCCATTTACTCTCTTTTTTGTTGTTACAATGTCAAATGTGCTTCTGGTGGAGGCAATATGCAAAAAAGAATGAAAATGGTGCCATTTCTAAAAGACAATTGTTTATAATACACACTGAATTGCAAAATAAACCACTTTAAGGATTTTTTTTCCAGCAGATACTTTAATGATATATATGTTTTGCCTTGTCTGCCAGCTCACGTATTCATAGCTACCATGTTAGCAAACTTTTTCTTCTTTTTCACTTGAGTGGTGGTGCTGTCTTGATACCCAGCTTCGATGGGTGTTTCGATGGAGCGTGCATCGAAACACCCAAAAAGTGAAAAAGAAAAAAGTGCATGTGAACACACACAAAAAGTGCACAGAAGGGGTGCAATCTAACGGGTCTGTCTCCTGAAGAGCAGGGCCCATCCCTGACCCCCCGGGGCGCAAGGCTCCTGACCTGGCCGAAACCAGCCGGACCCATTCCTCGTGGCCAGCCAAAGCCGACCACCGAGTGCAAGGTTGGGGGCTCCCCCGAAGGGAGACCCCCCCCTCGATTGAGGGGAGGAAGGTACCTAAGGGCCACACATCCTCCCCCTAGAGGTCAGGGTAGGCTCGGAGACCCACACCCTCCATCCTGTGGAGTGAAAAATACAAAAATAAATAATAAATTACCCCTGGTCTTAGCCAAAAGGCCTAGCCCAAGAGGTGATGTGCAACAAAAGCAAAGGTGTCATGGCCAAAGTGCCTTTTGCACAATGAGGTCCCATGCCCATAGTGTTACTTGGGTTCCCCTGGGTCACCACTCCCAGGGGGCGCTAAACACCGTAGGCTTCGTGCCTTCCCAGCCTATGGCCAGACAAGGTAGACCCGTCCAAATCAGAAGGAACTGGGCCCTGCCAGATCCCAGCACCCAAGAAGTTCTCCTGACCCCAACTCTTACATAAGTGGATGCTCAATTCGGTTTCCTTCCCATAGCCAGGACCCTTTGGGACCCCCATCACCAGGCAGGGTACCCAGATTCCAGCCACAAGGCCAGTCCCAGAGGCTCCTTTCCCTTCCTGCAACTGATAAGTAAGATACTACAGTTGATTTTGGCCAAAAGGCCGAGAAGCGATGCCCAAGTGCCCAAAGACATCAAAACTTTACCATGAAGTGAAGGGAAAGCGTTTTTTTCTTTCTATTGTGTCGTGCCTCCAGCCTGAAGACACCAAGCTGCTTGTTGCAAAGCCCCAATCCTGCATATGCAAGCGTTTCATTAAAGGGAACTTTTTAGCCAAGGCCCCAGTTGTGCGGACATAATCACTGAGGAATTATTCTCTTCCTGCCTGCTGTTTAAGAAGTGATCTTTTAATCAAACCCAGCAGCCATTGCGACTGTCACTTCCCTGTTTCTGCTTGAATGGGCCACACCGTCCTTGCGTCTGCTTTCCGTGAATGGAGAAGTGCATGATGGGATCACAGGAGCTCCTGGCCTGATTTTTTTTTTTCTGAATGAATGCAAATAAATCGGATTGTCTTTTACTGAGTGGAATAAAGCTTTTCGTCTCGAAGGCTACTGCCAGACTGAGCAACTGAGGTTTATTATCAGGGCTAACCAACGTTTACTTCCTCCGAAAGTCATAATTCAAAGTTCTGTGGGGTGTGTGAGGACTGTTGTCACCCTCTG